GCAATTTATCTTGTGTATTTGGTAATGCAGCAGTGATGTTCTATCCAAATCCTTCTGCTACGCACAATGTAAACATCCTATCTGCAGTTAATTCTCATGCTCCCAGAATATGATTTGTAATTTCTGTTACTGCTTTAGATTCCATTGCCAAGTCTAATTCTTTTTCAATAGAACATAGTGTATCATACTCAAACTGATCATGTGACTTTTCAAATTTATGATCTGGCCATGCTTTATTATTGTTAGTTTTTTGCATTTGAGCCATTACTGAATTTAGTTTATTATCAAATCATGCCATAATGCTTCTTAGGTTTCTAAGTTCTAATACCATTAGACCTTCTAGAGAGTCTAGATGATCGTAATCAACGTCTTCAGATGATTGTCATTTGTTTTTTTCTTTTGAATACGTAGTTTTTCGGTTCCTTCCTTGCATAGGGTTTGGTTCTGTGGTGCTCTGATGAGCCACTGAGGATTCTGCTATATTGTTATATCTGGTTTTTAAAGTGCGTTCCCTTAAAGTTTGGATCGAGATACTTTCTTCGTCCAATTCTAGATCAGTTTTATAATTTTTTTCTTTAGTCATGTGTGTATTTTCATCATCATCAACATAATCTCCTTCAACCATTATATCATTTGTTGAATCTAATAGAACTGGGCTTGCTAACACCCTTGCTGAATGTATTTTCAATCTTTGTACTAGATCTGCCTTTACCCCTTCAGTTGGAAGACCATGGTTCCGACAAATGTCTTCTAGATCGTTCTTAGATAGGTTTGAATCTGCTATAGTGAACACGTGATTTCTGTATATTTATATATGTGTTTTTTTTTTTTTTTTTTACTGAGCAAGCGTTTTAAAATTAGTAAGCACTTTTGAGTTTGGAATAGTCTTATATTGATTAAGTACATATTTGTCTTATATTGTTTTAGTACGTATTTCTCCCCCTCTTTATTTTTTTTTTTTTTACAATTTGATATTTCATTATATATTTCGTTATATATAAATATATCTGATATATGTATCATTATATATATATATTTATTATATGTTATATGTATGTTTTCTTATTATTTCTTGTTTTTCTTTATGAAGAGGGGCACCACAGTACGAAAGTGCCAGAACAAAGTCGAGCAGTGAAGAAAAAAGGCACTGCTGATCCTAAGTTCCACAATTTCCCTTTTTATAGCCATTTTATGTTTCAAATTTGTTCTGGGGTTGGTCCAGAGGTGATTCTCATGATAATAACCTTAGCATGACTATCGATATACATTAGGTCAGTTTGTGAACATTCCCAATTTTTTGTTTACAAAATTAACAAAAACGATTCCTAATCATATACCTTTTAAAATTTTTAACTAATTATAAAATGCTTATCATTATGTCTTCTTGTAAATCGTCAATAGTGTAAAATTATTATGCTTATTAAACAAAAAATCAAAAAAAAATATGAATTTTGTAAAAAAAAAATTTTAAGATTAATCATATTATTATTTATTATACTTTTCGTGACTACTCTAGTCATCTCTAAACTGAAACCAGGTAATATAAAATCAATTTTGTTTTGTAAAAAAACATATTAATTTTAATAAAGACTTAGAAATTCTGCCTATTGTCACTGAGTACAAAGCTACAGATAAATTCAAAACTTTGGAATTTATAAAAATATGTTTAATCTATCTAATAAATATGTTCAATTCTACACTATACTTTTTAAAGACTCTATTAAGACCAAATCAAGACATTGAAGATGCATTCAAAAATATGATTGTATTTGTCTTGGATTTCTCCTGGTTCATTATCAGAGAAACCCCAAAAATTTTAAACATCGTCTTGGAAATAATACTAGAAAAATTGCTCAAACAAATATATTGCATTTTAAAACTGTATTGTCAGTTGTATTAAAAAAACTTTAAGTGTTTTTTTTTTGTTTTTTTTCTTAATAAATTCATGAATCATTTTGCTATTTACGTGATTCAAAAATTTTCAGAGATTTTTGCATGTTTTTGTAATATTATTTTTTTTTTAAATAAATTTACAACTCATTTTATTTATATTTATCAATAATCAATTCAATTAAATAATTGTAAAGGGGTTTATACTTATTTTCTCGTAAGGGTTGCGATTCGTATAAAAATCTAAGTCATTCTTAAATTATTTAAGCAAGAAAACTACTTTTTCTTTGGAATATTATTCTCTTCAAATGTGGTAATCAAATCATACAGATAATCATATGCCTACATAATAATCATCAATGTTTTAACAAAATTATAAAAAAAAAAACAAAATAAAATAATGATTAATTTTCACCTGAATATAACATTTTTTATGAGATCTTGAATAGTAATCGTGTAAAAAGTTATTTATCTCCTCTCTAAACTAATTTTTATTTGGTTTTAATTTGTTAAATATCAAGGTTTTACTACTTTTAAGTATTGAATATACGTGTTCAATCATAACTTTCACTTTAATCTATTCAGCTTCTTGTATTTTGTTCTCACTATAATCATACATATATTCTATATATAACTTCCAACTTCCTGGTTCGTATTCAATGGGCATATCAACAACTTCTTGTTGTGGTGTAGACTTAGTCAATTTTGATATATATTTGCTAATTTGAGTGTCAATGTAAGATAGTAAATTATCTTTATCGCTATCTTCTTCCTTCATTACAGTAAGTTTTTTTTTTATAATTTCCAAGGGTGTAATATGAAAAAAAAACAAATCTATGCAAAAAAATCAGGGGTTAATTCTTTCTTTGTTCTAACGCTAATGACTAACAGATATGTTTACCCTTGTAAGGGATAACTGTATATCAATAGTAAACTAGATAATTATCATAGATCAATTTACTATAGAATAAAGGGCAATAAAATTTTTCTTGATATCAAAAAATTGTAATTATTATAAAAATTTATAAATTATTTTTAAATAACTTTAATTCTTAAAAGGTGAAAATTGTTATATTTAAAATGAAATAATGTTTGGGACCTTAGGTTTTAATTCAACTTCGTATGAATTTTGAAACATCTACTCCTGTAAAAAGACAAAATCAGGTGATCATAACATATTACTAACACTAATACTAATACTGGTATTGGTATTGCGATTGATTTATTGTTATTCTTGTTTAGTGCCTACTTTTAATGCATATATCTAAATTTATCATGTACAAAATTTTATACCAACAAAATTTTTAACAGTATTAGTATTACTTTTTATCACAAAGATTTTTTCAATATTATCGGTATTATTTTTTGTCACAAAGATTTTTATAATATATTTAGCCAAAATTTTAATCAGAAAGTTCTTATAATAGTAAAAAGTGTGGTCATAAGCATTTTTAAACTAAAATATTTGCGAAATAATATATATCGATATCTATTACGCTTATTAGATTCTTTATCAGTATCAGTATTACTTTTTATCACAAAGATTTTTTCAATATTATTAGTATTATTTTTTATCACAAAGATTTTTATAATATATTTAGCTGAAATTTTAACCAGACAGTTCTTATAATAGTAAGAAGTGTGATCATAAGCATTTTTAAACAAACATATTTGCAAAATAATATATATGTATTATGCTCATTAGATTCTTTATAATAGTAAAAAAAATAAAAAATATTATTACTAGAATTATATCTATAATGAACTAGTTTATTGCAGAGAATAAAAAATTTTCAAGATTTTTAGATAGAAAAAGTGAAACATATGAGGATCCAAATTATGAGTATGCTCTTTTAGACAATAGTCATTCTGATGTACAATTTGAGTTTTCTTGTAATTCAACTAGTACAATTACATCAAAAACTAGTAATTTAGTTGAAAGTGAAAATTTTACTTTTACAGAAGGCGAAAATTTTACTTTTACAGAAGCAGTATTAAATTTTATTAAGGTATATTCAAATTCAAATTTAGTTGAGAATGATAATCTTGAAAATAATATTGATTGGCTGAATTCTGAAATAGACTTTGTATCTGAAGTTAGATCTAACACTAATGATAGTCATATAACAGATTTTGATAACGAAGAGTTAGATATAGAAATTAGTAATCATCAAACAGATGAAGTTTTAGAACAATGTATTGTATTAGACTTATTAGATAGAAAAATTCAACAATGCCCAAACTTAAGATACTGGCCATTAAAATAATTAACAGGTATTTAGGAGTTAGATTCTCTAACTATTAATTGTATGATAAAACAAAACCAACTAAAGATACTAGAAACTCTTAGCATATGTAAGTTACATTTTAATTTTGATAAAGATAGTTTACATGAACATGGTGCAAAACAAGATATATCAATTGAAAAATCATTAATTCACAGACATTGATATCTTTTTTACAATGTCAATAAATATTTTTTTAGTAGAGGTAGAAGATATGAAATACATTCATGGACTGTGCTAGGGCAAAATATATATTTATCATATATAGGTTTAAAAAATTGTCTTGTATTTAATAGTGAATTATTAATCAAACAAGCAACAAATAATACACAATGTCATTTTATTTGTTCAGAATATTTTATACTAGAGGGTGGTCATTTTTATCAATACTGTAAAAGAGGAAAAACTAATTTACCTAAATCATATGCAGATATTTATACCAAAGACAATTCAAAGTCATTGGAATTAATAGGTAGATGGTTACTTAGTATAGCAAATACTGATAATAATCATATAAAAAATAAATTATTTAATAAAATAACAAATGCACTCATTAATGTATTTAAATTAAATTATGAAAATAATCAATCTGAAACTAATAACATTGAACCACCAAGTCAATTACTTTTGAAAATAACATTACATTTTCAAAATAATAATATTAATAAACTTAATAATCAAGAACATATCAGTATAATGATTGAAAAACAACTTGAACAGTTTGGCTAAGCACTTGGACATTTAATATAGAAATCTAAGTGAGATATAAAAAAAAATATTTAATCTTTAGAAAATCCATCGTCATTTCAAGAATATAAAGATAGCTTTCCATTAACTATAAAAAACTTTTTTAATAGTTTGCTCGATTATATACAATATCAAAAGTAGAATATTGTATATAAAAAACAATAACAATGTGGAATTGCATCAACTAGATATAATTCAATAAGAGCCAAAAAGATTGCATTGTTTATAATTTCTGTTGTATTAACTATTATTTTTCCAAGTGTAAATATATGGTTTACTAATATATTAAGTTTATTATGCCAAAAACCTCATTATCAATTATCATTATATACTGTTTTATGTATAGCAAATGTAGTTTCTTATACTTCTAGACATGAGAGATGATTAGAAAAGATAAGGTGAAAAAATATAGATCCTCATCAAAGAATGTGAACTGGCAATAATATATTAAATATGTGTATTATGGATAATATAAATTTAAAAGAAAAAATATTCACATATGACAATATATTTAATGCTGTGAGAAAAACAATGCACTGTATTGTACGAATAATAATTCAATATAAATTCCTAAAACCCTTATCAGAAGTAATTTCTGAAAATATTTCTGATATTGATAAAGATATAAGTTTTAAGATTGACTCTTCTGTATATATAGAAAGAGAATTATTTCATTGCTTTAATATATTTAATAAGCTACTTAATAAAAGAGATAGAGATTTTAATATACAAGATATTATGAAAGAATATGAAAATAAAATAGAATCTAATTGCCATCTTCTAGTATCTAATATCGTGATATTAAAACCAGGAGATAATCCTAATAATACTAATAATGTATATAGTGCTGCTTGTATGTATATCGATGATATTGGTATTAGTTCAAATGAAAATATTCATTTAATAGCTGATGAAGCTATTTTTAGACGTTTAGTTTCTTTAAATATAATACATTCAGAATTTGATTCTTATTAGGTAGTTGGTACACTAGTAAAAACATGTGTATAATACTTATTTTATTATTTTCAGAATACGGTATTTATAATCTAGCATCTGTTCTTGGAGTATATTATTTTGATAAATTTTCAAAAGTTGTAGACTATCAAGCAGCATCGAGAGTTATTACATTATTATGGGATAGAGTAGGAATTGCTTTACAAAGATATGTAAAAAGCTATAATAGTAATATAACTATAAATAATATTATGTCAGATAATAATAATATTATAAAAGTCTGGTATTTATTTTTTTGTTGAGCTAGATATTAGATTGGGCATAAAATGGATATTAGATATGGAAACTGGAATATGCAAATTGAAAACTTAAAAGCATTTACTCCCCTTTTTGCATCAGCTGGTCATAGTATTATGCTCAGTCTGTTACTTTTTTTCTTAATAATTTATGTCAAGATAAATCATTAAGAATTTTATTAAGTAGAATTTCATCAGTTAATATAACAAGACCTGGTCATTATTTCACCTATGATGAGGCAATAGAAAGATTTGGTATAATATACATAAAACAGAATATCGAAAAATTTTAAAAACAGATGAAGAATTAAAATTATAGATAGAATCAATGCAAGTAAAAAAGAGAATGTTTATCAATAGTATTAGATAATTTGTAGGTGAAAAATTATTTGCTACAAATAATCGTAGTTTACAATCATAGCAACCAGTTTTGTAGAATCTTTCAGACTTACTTTTAGATGCTTTTTTAGCTCCAAATCCAACTAAATATGACCTTTTTCAAAACACTAATCAAAATTATGAAGGTAGATTTAATAAATTATTTACATATTATGAAAAAGGTCAGGAAAGAATTTATAAAATATATTGACAAAATATTAAGAAATCCGAGAAACAAACAAAAATTGGACATAGAGCTCATGATGTTGTAATATGTTCTATTAATATACAAAAAGAAGGTATATTAAACAAAAAAAAAAAGAAATATCAAAAAAAAATCAAAATAAAAACTCTTCAGACAATATATACAAAAGTAATTCAGATTTAGATTATTCTGAAATACAAAATTATATGAATGAATGTCTTATACAATAAATAGTTTATAATACTAGAAAAATAGTAATATTTTGTGAGCTAAAGCTCTAGTTATTAGGTTTTATATTTAAAATTAAATTTAAAATATATAGTATAGTATTTAAATTTTATTAATTATTTATAAAATTATATCTATCACTACAATAAATTTATTAAAAAGCAATTTTGTTCGATTATTTTAGAGAATTGCTATTTCTATCTTCCACACTTCAAAATATATAAAAATGCTTCAGAAGAAATATTATTATTAAGTAAATCTCTTTATTAGTATTATTTAAAGTTGTTTATTAGGCCTTTCTAGTTCTAATAGTTGTAAAATCATTAATATCAGATTGGTAGGTTTTAAAATATTATATCTAAATTTTATAAGCTTCAATCTACTTTTAAAAAAGAACTACTAGTCTAATTTTAATAATATTACTGCTATTAGAACTGGAATGACCTAATAAACAACTTTAATTAATACCAAAAAAGAGATTTACTTAATATAATATCTTTTCCAGAGCACTTTTATATATTTTGAAATGTGGCATTAGCAAAAGTAGAAATAGAAATAGCAACACTCTATTTTTATTATAAATAAATAGTTGTTATAATATTTATTAAAAAAAATTATTAATTAAAAATTCAGCAAATATATAAATTAGAACTATTAATTAATTTATCACATTCAGTTTAATCTAAAATTAGTGGTTTTTTAAAATAACTAGACTAAACTATATAAAATAACTTTTTTTTGATTAGTCAATTATTTACAGTTATATTTATATAGTTTAAAGTACTTTTTAAGAATATAACATTTTACAAATAAAAATTAAACCAATTACTATTTTCAAAGAAGTGCTAATAGTTACTATGCAAAATAATCTTGTATCTAGAGATACTTTATTTAAAAAGTGATATTTTTATATAAGTTATAACTATAGAACTATATATAATTACTAAATAAGTAGCTGCACAATATTGTCATATAAAACCAGAAATAGAAAAGTAACATATTACAATACTAAGTACTAATTATACTAACAATTAGTAAGTCTGTTATATAGCAGAGACAGTACATAATTCAAAGTAAATTCTTCTCTATTTAAATTAAGTATTTATAAATAAGTATTTATAATTTTAATTCTACTAATTAATATTAACAAATTATTTTTATACTTACAAGCTAAATTAATATAAATGAAAGAAATGATTTAAAGAATATTAAATAATTAGTTGTAATTAAGTATTTAGCAACAAATATTTATGAGTAAGTATTTTTATTTATATATTTAATTCTACTGATCAATATTAATAAATCATCTTTATACTTATAGGTTAAATTAATATGAATAAAAATGTTTTGAAGGAGAATATTAGGTAATTAATTGTAAATAAATATTTAGTGATAAGTATTTATGAATAAGTATTTTATTTATAATTTTAATAAAACTAATTATATTAATAAATCATCTTTATACTCACAAACTATTTAAAGGTATTAGATAATAAATTATAACAAAGTATTTAGAAATAAGTATTAATAAATTATATTTGTATTCATAATTTTAATAAATCACCTTTATATTTACAGACTATTTAAAAGGTATTTTGTAATTAATTATAAAAAAATATTTAGAAATAAGTATTTATGAATAAGTATTTATATTTATAATTTTAATAAAACTAATTAAATTATTTTATACTCATTTACTATTTGAAAAATATTAGATAACTAATTGTAAATAAGTATTTAGTAATAAGTATTTAGAAATAAGTATTTATTTTTGATTTTAATTATACTAATTAACTATTTTAATACTCATACATTACTTGAAGAGTATTAAGTAATTAATTATAAATAAGTATTTAGAAATAAGTATTTATATTCATAATTTTAATAAAAATAATTAATATTAATAAGTTATCTTTATGCTTGCTAACTAAAATAATTTGAAGAATATTAGATAATTAATTAATTATAAATAAGTATTTAAAGCTAAGTATTTAGTGATAAATATATATATTTATAATTTTAATAAAACTGATTAATATTAATAAATTATCTTTATACTCTCAAACTAAATTAATACAAATAAAATAATTTGAAGAGTATTAGATAATTAACTAATTGCAAATGAGTATTTAGTGATAAATATATATATTTATAATTTTAATTCTACTAATTAATATTAATAAAATATCTTTATACTTACAGACTAAATTAATATAAATAAAATAATTTGAAGAGTATTAGATCATTAATTAATTATAAATAAGTATTTATAGTTAAGTATTTATAAATAAGTATTTATATTTATATTTATAATTTTAATAAAACTAATTAATACTAATAAATTATTTTCATACTTACTCACTATTTGAAAGTAATAAGTATCTAGAGATAAGTATTTATAAATAAGTATTTATATTCATAATTTTAATTTTACTAATTAATATTAATAAATAATATTTATACTCATTAACTAAATCAATTCAAATAGAATAATTTGAAATCAAAAGAGAATAAAACAGCTCTTCCTAACAATCACTTGAATCTATGTAGAGCAATACCAACCTGTAGAAAAATTTGGAAAATATAACAAAAGGATACACAACTCCTTCTAGTAATACAGTGGAATTAAAATATTTAGCTCATAGCTTTTAAAAAATATTGTCTTGGAGTTGTAGCTTGTATTATATGTCTAGAAACTTTTGAATAGAAGTAGTACTGCTAGGAGCTTTTGTCAAGTATTTTTGTTTAGTTATAGAAAACAAACATATACTTGCTCTATTATTATGTTTTTCTAAAGTAACATAGTCTTATAGTCATTACAATATACTCTACAAGCAAGGTTCTACTGAATATATCTTTTGGACTTTCTC